GCGGGGGGGGGGCTGGCTGCAGAGACAGCAAGGAAGCTGGGGCCGGCCAGCACAAACGTTTCCCTAAAAGCAGACGTGCTGGAGAGCCCGGGGAGCACAGGCAGGGTGGCCTGGGGGAACCGCTGGATTCCACGGGGCTGACAGCTTCTGGGACCTGCTCCGGCCTCTGCTGGGCCTGGCTGCTCTCCTGCTGACGGGCTAGCTCCAGTTGGGGCGGCTCTGCTGCTGGGATCAGGAGCCAGGGCTGCGGGTGGTCTCATACCGGGGGCTGGCGCAGCAAGGAAAGCGCCCGCGGGAACTGGGCCCCGGGTTTCATGACAACACAAGGCTTACGCCGGAGAAATAAATTACCGCTCCACTAGGCACAGTGAAGCCAAGAGGCAGGCCGCACCCTCGCCCGGCGGCGCAGCACCACTGCTTTGTGAGACCCCCCTGCTGCCTTGAGCCCGGCCAGGCACGTCCCACCCGGCGCAGCAGAATGAACAAGTGGGGAGCCGGTCCGCCAGGACGTGGCTTTCCAGACGCGCTGCGTCGGCAGCAGGCGAGCGCCCGTGTAACCACCGGCCTCGCCGCCCCTCCAAGGCGCTAGTGACGGCGGCCAGCGCGCAGGGCACTCGCGGGGCTCCCCAGCCAACGGCCTGTGCTGCGTCAGCGTCCCGGGACGGCCAGTCGCTTTGTGCTGGGCAGAGACGGGGAGGCTTCCGTGGAGCAGCCACCAGCCCTGGAACACAGCCCGGCAGCGCTTAGCTTAGCCGCACGGCCCGGCACAGTGCCGACCTTTGACCCCAGCAGCTCAGACTCAATTGTTTCAATTTGGACGGAGTGAAGGTGTTTGGGCAACTAAAGCGGTGCTGCCTGTAGGTGTGGGCCTGTCTGCACCCCAACCCCCATGCACCCGAGCCGAGCCCGTACCCCTCCTGCCCCCCAACCGCCATGCACCCGAGCCCAGAGCCCGTTCCCCTCGTGCCCCCCAACCCCCATGCACCCGAGCCGAGCCCGTACCCCTCCTGCCCCCCAACCGCCATGCACCCGAGCCCAGAGCCCGTTCCCCTCGTGCCCCCCAACCCCCATGCACCCGAGCCGAGCCCGTACCCCTCCTGCCCCCCAACCGCCATGCACCCGAGCCCAGAGCCCGTTCCCCTCGTGCCCCCCAACCCCCATGCACCCGAGCCGAGCCCGTACCCCTCCTGCCCCCCAACCGCCATGCACCCGAGCCCAGAGCCCGTTCCCCTCGTGCCCCCCAACCCCCATGCACCCGAGCCGAGCCCGTACCCCTCCTGCCCCCCAACCGCCATGCACCCGAGCCCAGAGCCCGTTCCCCTCGTGCCCCCCAACCCCCATGCACCCGAGCCGAGCCCGTACCCCTCCTGCCCCCCAACCGCCATGCACCCGAGCCCAGAGCCCGTTCCCCTCGTGCCCCCCAACCCCCATGCACCCGAGCCGAGCCCGTACCCCTCCTGCCCCCCAACCGCCATGCACCCGAGCCCAGAGCCCGTTCCCCTCGTGCCCCCCAACCCCCATGCACCCGAGCCGAGCCCGTACCCCTCCTGCCCCCCAACCGCCATGCACCCGAGCCCAGAGCCCGTTCCCCTCGTGCCCCCCAACCCCCATGCACCCGAGCCGAGCCCGTACCCCTCCTGCCCCCCAACCGCCATGCACCCGAGCCCAGAGCCCGTTCCCCTCGTGCCCCCCAACCCCCATGCACCCGAGCCGAGCCCGTACCCCTCCTGCCCCCCAACCGCCATGCACCCGAGCCCAGAGCCCGTTCCCCTCGTGCCCCCCAACCCCCATGCACCCGAGCCGAGCCCGTACCCCTCCTGCCCCCCAACCGCCATGCACCCGAGCCCAGAGCCCGTTCCCCTCGTGCCCCCCAACCCCCATGCACCCGAGCCGAGCCCGTACCCCTCCTGCCCCCCAACCGCCATGCACCCGAGCCCAGAGCCCGTTCCCCTCGTGCCCCCCAACCCCCATGCACCCGAGCCGAGCCCGTACCCCTCCTGCCCCCCAACCGCCATGCACCCGAGCCCAGAGCCCGTTCCCCTCGTGCCCCCCAACCCCCATGCACCCGAGCCGAGCCCGTACCCCTCCTGCCCCCCAACCGCCATGCACCCGAGCCCAGAGCCCGTTCCCCTCGTGCCCCCCAACCCCCATGCACCCGAGCCGAGCCCGTACCCCTCCTGCCCCCCAACCGCCATGCACCCGAGCCCAGAGCCCGTTCCCCTCGTGCCCCCCAACCCCCATGCACCCGAGCCGAGCCCGTACCCCTCCTGCCCCCCAACCGCCATGCACCCGAGCCCAGAGCCCGTTCCCCTCGTGCCCCCCAACCCCCATGCACCCGAGCCGAGCCCGTACCCCTCCTGCCCCCCAACCGCCATGCACCCGAGCCCAGAGCCCGTTCCCCTCGTGCCCCCCAACCCCCATGCACCCGAGCCGAGCCCGTACCCCTCCTGCCCCCCAACCGCCATGCACCCGAGCCCAGAGCCCGTTCCCCTCGTGCCCCCCAACCCCCATGCACCCGAGCCGAGCCCGTACCCCTCCTGCCCCCCAACCGCCATGCACCCGAGCCCAGAGCCCGTTCCCCTCGTGCCCCCCAACCCCCATGCACCCGAGCCGAGCCCGTACCCCTCCTGCCCCCCAACCGCCATGCACCCGAGCCCAGAGCCCGTTCCCCTCGTGCCCCCCAACCCCCATGCACCCGAGCCGAGCCCGTACCCCTCCTGCCCCCCAACCGCCATGCACCCGAGCCCAGAGCCCGTTCCCCTCGTGCCCCCCAACCCCCATGCACCCGAGCCGAGCCCGTACCCCTCCTGCCCCCCAACCCCCATGCACCCCAGCCCAGAGCCCATAACCCTCCTGCACCCAATCCAGAGCCCATACCTCTCCCACAACCCAACTCCCATGCACCCTGTCCCCAAACCTGGAACCACCTCTTGCATCCCAAACCCCTCATCTCTGAGTCCTCCCCAGAGCACGCACCCCGACCCACTGCCTCAGCCCACAGCCACTTTCTGTATTTCAAATCTCCTGGCCCCAGCCTGGAGGCCCCTCCTGCACCCAGCCCCATCCCAGATCTGCACCCCTAGCCAGAGCCCTGAGCCCTTCCATCCCATCCCAGAGCCTGCACACGCAGCTGGAGCCTACACACTCCTGCACCCCAACACTGTGCCCCAGGGGATCCACCCTTAACACGGAGCTGTGGCCAACGGTCTCCGGCCACGGCTGCCAACCCCGGCTAGCCCCCAGGGGCCTACTGACAGCTCCGCTTCCTCGGGGGGCCAAGGGGCTCACACGACTGTCGAGGGGCTCACGGGGCCTGGGCCGGCTGCCTGCAGAGGAGAGAAGCCAGCGTCAGGAGGGATGGCCAGGAGACGGGAACGGAACCTGCGAACTCCAGGGTGCCCTACGCCGGGCCCCTTCCTCCCAGACCCCCCGGCAAGGAGCTGCCCCGTCTCCCCGAGGCGTGACCGAGGACCCGCTGGGAGTGGCACGAAGGCAGCCGGCCCGGTAGCTCCCTCCGGGCGGAGACCCGGCGCGCCAGGATCCCCCTGGGGGGCTCAGGGCTGACTGGAGCCGAGCGTTGCCCCCGCCGGGCGGGAGGTCGCGTTTCCCCAGCTCACAGGCTGGCGCGGGGGGGCCGTGCCCGGGCGGCTTGTATAGGGGGGCCCCGGCTGCTTGAACTCACCGCAGAACCATACTGGGCCTGGGTCTGCGGGGAGGCGAGCGCGGAGCTGTG